AGGCACAAGGACTGTTTGGGGTATGTGAACTACGTAGTGAATTTGTTATCGGATGGGTGGTGCGAGACAAAAAAGCCGTTAGTGACTTGTCCAAGGTCATTCTATGACTGATGGAGCCGAGGTTCGAACGCAACATCTTGTGGATATGTGTCAAACATCTTAACCATTCAGTCATAGCAGCTCGGAAACTTGACTATAGGCTCTAGGAGACGAAGTACCTCTTTGGTAAACGTTTCGGTACTATTGCACTCAAAACAATTTCTTCCAAAAACTCGATTGTCTAAAGATCCTAACCAGAGCAGAAACGACAGCTTCTGTTCCATCATCATCTAAGGACTCTTAGCAACAACTTGTAGAATTTATAATCGATTTCGAACTTTTTACTTAGTTAGAAGGGGGCATTTTCGCTATCGGTTATGTAGTCATACTCAGTAATGTCGCTAACAAAATCATTACATCCCAAATGCCGAATAAATGGTTCGTATTTTAAAATCTAGGCATGCTTAGAAAAAATTTGGCATAGAGATTTTATAGTTTCAGTAGTTGTCTACAGAATGTCCTTTTTGTTTTTCAAAATTGTGCATCAATAACAAGTTTTCTAAAATTGAAGTGCATGAAGTGAAAATCAATGTCGTTTTTGGTCTCGTCGTCAACGTTAGTTTTCTAATGGTAGTTTCTTTGCACAAAGCTTGATAGTACTAATAATTTGAGTGTATCTTGAATAACTTAATATCCGTGCAACGTATAAAAATCGGACCTAAGACGGCTGAAAAGTCCGAGGTATACATATTTTAATTTTAGACAGTCGCACCCCTAACGAATGATTTATCCAATACACAGATAATCCGAAAATTATAGGACACCCTATGAATCTCTATAAACTACAAAGATTTCTTCAACTAAACGATTTTTCATTCCAGATCCAGTATCATATTTATAAGCACAAGGTAACAGCCTATCATCTGTGACATTGACTTGAGCTTGATTGAGTAGCATTAAAGAATAAATTGAAAACTTTCGAATTCCAGTTGTCTAATTATCGGACATCCTCCCATCCAAACATAAACATAATGAATAAATGCTGTTTTCATTAACTCAACGGGTTCATTTTTAGCATTCATTTAAAAGGGGAAACACTCAGCTGTTCTTTGAAAAAAGGAGATTTTCGAAACAAACGAATTTAAGCTTCCTATCAGATAAGAATCTAAATGGTGGGTGCGGGTGCGGGTGTGAGTGTAAATCTTCCGTTCATTTACACCCACACCCACACCCCATACCGAAACAGCGGTTTTTACACGTTTCCATATTTGGGGTGCGGGATGTCCTGTAATCATCGAACGGCTAAATTTTGAAAGTTTTGAAATTATTCTTTAATATTAATGAATCAAATTCAAAGCAATATCGTACATGATAAACTGTTAGTTTGTATCCATAGACATGATACTTGATCGAGAATGAAGCCTCCTTCTCCTTTAGTTGGAGAAATATTTATAGTTTTTAAAGTTTCATAAGGTATCCTATAATTTTCGGTCATTCTTTAGAATTGATGGACGAAATATGCTGTGTAGAAAAAACTGACACAACACCGTTCTTTAACTCCAAATGGATTGAGAGAATAGACTTTATCTCAAAATAAAACCGTATAACCCGAGTCGACTGGAAGATGGTCAAATTTCAAGTTCGAAAAATGTCCGATATTTTTTTCCTCACTCATCTTTCCTAATTCACTACATACACTCACTATTGGAAACACTGAATAGAAATTGGAACATTATCGACTTTCTTTTGCCTTGCTCATAGCCGCATTCTAGAATAAACGATAGTAAACATCGTTTATTCTAACTCACACTATTAAAAAGTTGTTTTTCTTACTATTGTTTCGGAAAATACTTCTATCAAGGATCATTTCTTTTAAAACGGAAACAATATCTCAGTGTTTTGAATGATACTTTTCTACATCTCCACAGGAATAATTTGTTTTTATCTATATAAGATATGAGGTACTTCAAAGAACTTGTGACTTTATATCGGTTGGCGTGTAGATCACGAATGATGTGAGCTGAGTCAAATCTTTCGGAGCATTGTTATTAGTGATAAGCAATTTTTACGAAGTATTTTTATGAATCAAAACACTAATAAAATAAATTTATCTACATGAGTTATACATCACAATATAGAGTAGAAACTTTTACATCCATTAATATATTATTCGAGATTTTCCTATGTAATGAAAGAAGACACCAAGGTTTGGACGAAAAATGCTAGCTCTTCTCCTTTGGGCATAATGAATATTTTCTTTTTTGTTGTTGTTGAAACTGCTATTAAAATTTGGCGATATAGGACAACATCAATAAATACTGCCCACTGAATTTGGTATGATGTGGTTATTTTGTTTAATGACTTGACCAGAGAGTAAATTTTCGGGAAAAGAACCCAACTAGGTTTAAAAATTTCTTTACATCAATAAAATGCAGAATTTGTTTCGAATTTCAACACTGAAAGCACTCATACATGAGAAGAGTTGGTATATAATTTAATCATTTTTGTACGTTTTCGACACCATTTTTACATTTTTCATTATTTATTCAGAAGAATAGTCGACTTGCTATCTTCACACTAGCGTACAAGGAATTTTTTATGAGTTATAACTATGAAGAGTAAATTCTCTGTTGTTTCTTCTTGCATTCATGTAGTTAGTATATGAACTAGCATTATTTCAATTTTAGCAATTGAATTTAATCCGCAAAACTAACATCGATGGGTGCTGCGCCCTCTCATTCTACTGAAGGATCGACGCGCATCCAATGGGAATGGAATGCAAATGTAAATCCATTTTCAAAGTCCAAACCTGCCCAATGGAAACCATATTCTGATGTGGAAAATTTGATAATTGAAGAAGCATTTAGCGCTGGTAAAATCTATGCTATGTTCGACGATTATCACATTGATTTTAAACATAAAATGCAAATTTCCAATCATGACAAGAACAAACAACGTCCCGTCCAACAAAAAATCTGTAACATAAACGATGTTAACGTACGAGAAGAGAGATTTACATTCACTCCTATCGATCCAAAACGTCCGTTTGGTGGTCTATACGGATGGATTTCACCCTTCGTCAAAGAGGTGGCAAAGCACTTGAACATAACAAAAGATCAATTACCTTCAAAGGATCAAACCATGGTTCTTATGATTGTGGAAAAGGCTGCTGCTGGTATAATTGAAGAAGGTAAACTACTCGGAAAAAAATTTGAAGGTGAACAGTTAGCGAAAATGTTGCTGGAGAAAAAAGATGCAGGAATCAAAGAAATATGGAAGCGTTGCGCTTATCTTTATTCATTGGAAAGCTATTTGTACAAGAAATTAAATGAGACAATGCGATTGATAGGAAGTAAAGAACACGAACAAGAATGGCGTAGCAAAATACCAACATTGGGCCCATTTTGTTTGCTGTTATGGGATAATCCTTTCAACGATAAAACTACGAAAAGAGGAACAGTAATTTATCGAGGAGCTAAGCTCACCGATGATTTGATTTTGGCTTTCAAATACGATTGTTCGAAAGAAGATAAACCACTACGTTCTTTTCAATCGTTTACGTCGTGCAGTCGAAATCGTGCTAAAGCTGAGCCGTTCGGTAATGTCTTATTTATTATGACAGTTAAACATGCTTTTTCCGTCGATCTTAAGCAATTTTCCAAATATCCTAACGAAGAAGAGGAGTTAATTTTACCTGGTGTTTGTTTTACTGTTGATCGTGTGGAATTTGACAAGAAAAAGAAGAAACATTTGATCTACTTAAATCTAGTGCAACAGTTTCGTTGTAAGTTAATATTTATTTCCTTCATCATGTTTTCCATTGTATTCTCTTCTCATTTCCTTGTGAGACTCTAAGTTTCTGTAGTCAAATATCAAGTTTAAGAGATGACCCACATCTCACATCTATCTCCGGGAACTTGAATACTCAAATTTTGAGCTGAACCTTTATTCATAGACATGTATTAGAGTCACTTGAAACTTTCCCAAAAGTTAGACTTAGAGAAAAGTAATCTTATCAAGATATCACCTTGTAATGAAAATGTTCTCGTTTTAAACAATAGCATAGAAAGTGTTTAATATTAGAATATCTTACTAAGCATCGGTTCGTTCCGTCTCAAATGTATGAAGTGTTTCAATTGACAATAATGCTTTTCTATTAATAAGATATATATTTAGAATTATATAATTCACGCTCTCTGAGCTTCTATTTTCATAACATGAAAATCTTGTAAACTATCCGTAATTTGAAAATAAAAATAGAAAAAGCTTATGAAAAGACTTTTTTTTCACTCACCAGGGCTGATTGAATGGTCATAGTCTACAGTAAAGAGCGATTTGACAATTTGGAATATTCCTCTGTTAGTCGAAAGAATAGTTATCAAGCTGGTCTATACGTTACTACAAACTATAAACTATTTCTAAAATTGGGTGTAAAGAAAGCATACAATGTAGCAAATACTTAGTTAATGAATTTTCGTAGGGAGTAAACAGAGAACAAAACCGTTTGTGCTAATTACTATAAGCTTTTTCGTTTCAAATATTCGATCTATAGTGACGCAAAAAAAATTATTTTTCAGTCCTCGGATATCTTTTCCAATTCCAAAGTTTTCAAAAACTGGTTTTCCTTGCACGTAAGTTTTACGTCACTATAAAGTCTACTGATTTTTTATGTCCAAACTTGTTACAAAAGTATTCTATCATGAATGATCTTCTAATATAAAATCCTATCAATCAGACACCTAATATCGTTATCGAATATTTTTTACTACGATTCGTTTTCAAATACAAGATAAATGAGAAAAAAATGAGCTACCATTAAATTTCACTTTTTCATCAACTGATCTAACCTGAGCTGTCTTATTACGCTCTATCATTTCATTATCGTTGGAGTATTTCAATTACTGACATTTGGATAGACGTACCACAGTTATTATTCATTTTCACATCCATCGATGGTTATCGTGATTTCACATTTAAATTATCACGAGAGTCTTCTCAATTATAAAAATCTGAATCTTCATGATCAATAAAGAGTACACGATGTTAGTCTTTCATAATTTATATAATATCTA